GAGCCTTTTCATAGAGAGATAATGCCCCTTCAGAAACCAGTCTGATGCCAATGTTCATGCACTCCAAGTCTTCCATTACACATGCCAGGTCCAAACCAATCAAACAATTCTACCACCATGAAATGAAATGCTAAAAGACCGCCAGTTATGCTCCAACTTAATTTTGTTCCGAGCCCCAGTTCAACGGCGGCTATAACGACGAGAGGATACCAGATCCATCGTCTAGCGAGAGAAGAAAGACATGGTTTCGTTATCATGAAAACTTTGAAAAGGAAAATTGACACTCTAGCCAATAAAGTAAGAGACTGCTTATTGTGATGAGCCCACGTTTCGCAATAGTGACGGTAGAGAGATATGCGATTCTTGAAAGAGGATACAAGGGTGGTGGGTGGTGGCATTAATAGTGGAGTGGTAATGTGAGGTTTTGTGACAGGAACAGTAGTGCGACTTCTACTGACTTCCAATGCGAGCTGGGAGGATGGTGTGGGTGAGGATGAACGAGATGAGGTCTCGGATGAAGGATCTTCGATGTATGCTCTTGAGCGCACTCGCTTCGGTTCTCGTTCGTTGACTGGTGTTGCGGGTGGCATGGGTGAGTCGATTGCTTGAATTCTTCCACGGATTCCCGATGAACTACCATGCCGCACACGGGTTGGATTTTGTAAACCCCTTTCTGTTCTGATTGCTTCTAAGATCTCATTTGCACTAGGTCGATCGTTAGGATTGACAGCAAGTAATCTCTTGAGAAAGTTGTAGAGCTGATTTGGTAATTCTGGTCGCTCTCGTCGTTCGTCTTGAAATCCAGACCACGTGCTAATTTCAGCCCTAAGTAGATCCATGTCTTCGAAGTCTTCCTCGAAGCTGTCTGCACTCTTGTAAGGGAGTCTCCGGAAACACATGAAATACAGTATCATTCCCAAGCTGAAAATGTCAGATTTCGTAGTAAAATTTCCATATCGACCAAACTGATCTTGCTTCAAAACTTCCGGAGCACAATATGATATTGTACCTGTAGATCCTGTCGATTTCCTCACAACATTTTCCGCTTGTACTTCTCCGAAGTCGCTTATGAGGCATCTCATGTCACTTCCATCTTGATGTAGCAAGCAGTTGCTTGGCTTCAAGTCTCGATGAATGTAATTCGAAGCGTGTAGATGTGCAAGGCCCGACGTAATATCCTTGAAGAACGAATAAATTTCCTCAAACTGTAATTTCCTCTGCGACGATCTCAGATCCGGTCGTTCTGCACCCCCTCTTGACCTTCTTCGCATTTGCTCCTTCAATTGTTCATTTGTTGTCTGCATATTCGGTGTAGGCCCCGCAATATAACGCAGTAGGTCTCCGGAGTTGCAATACTGCTGAAGAATGTAGGCGCATGGTACTGAGGGACTGAACCGGTTCAATTGAACATCTTCCAGCCAGACATGTCGGTAGGATACGAGGTTCGGGTGAGAAAGTCCCTGCAAGAGTTGAACCTCAATGAGAACTGTGGAAGTTAGTACAGAGCTTCGACGTAAAGAGAATCATAATACCTTTCTCTAACCATGCATGATCATCTCCAACTGGTACTCTCTTGCACGCAAATTGACCTACAGCCCATTAGCACATTATTTCGTATACCTATTCTTGGATCTTCATACCTAGAGACACCCCGTCGAGCTCATGGCGGACTAAGAGAACTACTCCCTTTCCTCCACGGCCTAATTCCTTTTCCTCAATGAAGAATCTCTTGAAGTAGTTTGGGCTGAAAGCTTCCTTCTTTATGGTATGTCCTGTTTCCACTGCTGGAGTACTTGCCACAAATTCTACATGGTCTTCTGCATCATCTACATAGTTCGCAGATGGAGAGGCAGGTTGTACGAGTCTGCGAATCGGACTGGAGGGTGGTTGCTCATTCGGACCGCTGTTTGCAGCATGAAGCATGCGAAAGTATTCTGGAGCTATGAAAGCATTTGCACGAGCGGAAGGAGTAGGCTGCTGTCGTTCGGGAGAGGGTGCGCGCAATGGGCGATGACATGTCGGGCAATCATTCAAGGCGAGACCGGGAGGGGCACTTCGAAGAACTAATTGTTGAGTATTGGGATCCCTTATGACGATCGCATCATCATGACGACTATAACACTAAATATTAGCATGCGTGTGCCAGCTAGCTTCCAGCTTCTAATTCATTCCAATGCCCTCAGCAGAAAGAAGAAGAAAATGAGGGATAACCTACAGTACAATCTCTTGACTGTCTCGAGATGAATATGGGACTAAAGACATGGTCGAGACGGGAGTTGGAGCTTGTGAAGTTAAGCAATTGATTGATGTTATAAAACAAGATCTTTTCAATCTTTTATGTCACATTGTTCAGCATTGGAGTGGATGCTTTATAAGATAAGTCAAGTGTGTATACAAGAAGTGTACATGCAGCGATTGCAGTAATGTGAAGAGACACAACATTTCCATACCAAATGCAATTCCCAATAAACTTTTTATCTTTCGTATGTCGCCATGACATGTTCATCCATGGATGTTCATGTTCATGTTCAGGTTCATGTTATCGGGTCGGGGCGATCATTCTAGCGACTGCCATTGTTGTCCAGGCGTTTCCCTCTCCCCACATGCTTATGTAAGGTTAACCTCAGCCTCACTACGAGTAACATGTCGATTTTGTTTCTGTCACTTCGTACCCATTTTTATATCCAATCTTCAATCTTCAATCTTCATTCTTCAACATTTACGACGGCATGCAACCATGGCTTTGAATTTACGAGGATTTGAAGTTACGGGGCCTTCAAGTTACAAGACCTTCATCAATTACCATAGCTACGTGTGTTGTCACTGAGGCATACAATGAGTCCTTGGAGATTCAACCAACTGTCGATGACTTGATGGATGACTTCGTGACTCTGTTTACGGAGTGGAAACCTCAAAGTAACAAGAACGGCTGGCACGAGGCGGGTGCCTACATCTATCCATCCCGTTTAAATCAAATATTCCGTATCATTATCCTATGATTCACATGTGGGCAGATGGTATGGAAGTTGTCTCAAAGAATGAGCTCCATCATCTCAACCTCTCAATGCTAGACAGCATTAAACATATCTGATATTGATGCTCGGGGTTTGATATCACTACTACTCAACTAATATTTACACTGCATCCTCAAACCCTGACAACGGATGTAACAATGGAATGCTTCAGGAGAGGTCATTAAGTAAGCCATGCCGAAGATAATCGGCGAGGATTGTTTCAATGTCTTACTGTACCACATGATCACCTCGACAACATCCACCAAAGATTCTCCTATGCCCCATATGAAGTTGGTCATTCTACTTCGACATATGCTGGGCCTAATAATACATCTCGCGCACATGGCAACGCGATTATGTACGGGTCTCGCATGCTTTGTACTGAATTCGGAGGTTAATATGCAGCCTGCCGCATTAATCAAACATAGTATATTCCTTCTCGAAGGCGGAAGCCTGCAGAGAAATGTTCGGGGACGGTTAATAATCCCGACGACTGCGAGTTTGATCAGAGTAGAAACAAAGAAGATCAATAGATCTTATCTTATGACCATCGAGCAGTTTTGCACCAGATCGCTGGTAAATATCGGTTGATTCAAGATGTATTTGGCTTCCGAGGAACCACTAACCGTTCAAAGTTTTGACGTCCATTTTGAAACGACGAAGTTCTTTGTTTCCAAATTTGGATCTGGATCCTTCCTTACATACTCCGGCTTGTACCTTAACTAGTTTGAGGCCACAAACGAGCACATCTATTGGATAGTATACAGAAGCTCTAATTTTGCCAAGGGCCAAAATCTTCGATAGAACAAAGAGTGAAATTCACATTGTTCTATTGCAACTTCTAGAAACTTATCTTTATTGAAAAGAATTATTTTGGTGCTTCCATTTTCTTGATGAAGCATTACATATAAATTTGAAAGCCAGAGATGATAGAATGAATCTTCAAGTGCGGGCGCTATGGGTAATGAATGCTTGATAATCGGTGTAATAATCATTGTTGTTACGGTCATTGGAGGTGCCATTAGCTTTTTCGTATGGTACCAATTACGAAGATCAAGACAGTACAATGGAGAAATACAGATGAACCCTCTACAAGAACGCCGTTCAGATGGTCGACGTGGACGAGCACATAGAGAAGATCGCCGCACACAAAATCGTCATCAAGGCAGCCCGGGTTTGGCCGACATTATTGGCAACTCTCTTGACCGTCCTAGGGATAGGACAGAGAGTAACAATGGTCGAAGCCTACCAGATATTGTAATTCCACCACCCAAACAACGTAGAAAGGCATCTGCAGCTCGTTTGAAGAAAGCGAAGAAACGAGACATCGCCGAGGAACCACAAGATGGGCCAAGTACAGCTAATGCTGCAAATCGGTCATCAGATGGCGTGCGTATATCTACTTCACATGATGGTCAGTCTACAGTAGGAGTTGGAGTAAAAGGAAAAGGGAAACCAGCCCCCGAAAAGTTTCAAAGACCAGTCGTCTCTCCTGAGAATTTCGACACTCCTCTCATTACGGTCGAATCTTCTCCAAGCTGTTCTCAAGAAGAGGGAAGTCTTAGATCAGAGTCTTAACCGATCGAACTGGCAAAAATGGGGGACAGCTAATATGCTGATAAATCATGTCAATTTGTAATCTCGGGAAATAATGACAGCGATTTTACCGAACCCTGCATCGCCCACTGCTAAACGAAACAAGGGGAATTGCTTGCGGATCGAAATGTAAGATCCTCCCCTTATATATCAAGCTTCAGTTAAGATATTGGCAAATTTTTGGAGTATGGAAAATGATCAAGTCCGAACCCAGTAAATATTAGTCAGTGTAAAGGAGAATTATGATATGACACAGAAAGGAAGAGCGGGCTGTCTATATAAGGTACACTATATCCGGAGGTGGCAGACTGAGGTTTCTTGTGATACTATTTCTCATTCCAATCATCACACAATATTGAGGGGATAAAAGACAAATCGCCTTGCTAAAATATGTCGAAAATTATTGTTATAACCAGTGTCACCGGTGCCCAAGTGCTTATTCCCATAACACTCAGATGTACAAATACTAAACAAAGATAGGGATCATCAATTGCTGAGACATTTCTCCGCTTCCCAGAATGGCGAGTTCGAGGCACAACGCGCAATCCAGCAAGTCCGGCTGCTCAAGTATTAGCAGAAAATGGAGTCGAAATCGTTCAAGCGGACTTTGATGACAGACCATCACTTTCTTCAGCTTTTCAAGGAGCTACTGTAATCTACTCCAATACCGATTTCTTCGTGCATCTCTTCACAGGCATATCCACAGGCGCGCCTCCTGGCCGCACAGTCCTCGAACACGCATATGATCGGGAAGTTGCTCAAGGGATCAATATCGCAGAAGCAGCTGCTTCACCGAGCGTTCTCGAAACGTTGGAATATTTCATATACTCCTCTTTGAGCGATGCAACGAAATGGAGTAAAGGTAAATATACCTCGGTATATCATTTTGATTCGAAAGCAGAAACAGTCCGGCAGGTTGAATCTCGATTCCCGGATTTGGCAGCGAGAATGAGTACCCTCCAAATGGGATATTATGTCACGAACTGGAAAGCTTTTCCACCCATGGCACCGCAGAAACAGGTCGATGGGAGTTTTTTGTTCGAGAGACCTTTGAGTCCAGATAGTGTGGTGGAGTTTGTCGTGACGCAGAGAGATACGGGAGGGTTTGTTAAAGCATTGATTGAGATGTCGCCAGGAAAGAATCTCATAGGTGTTTCGGAGAGAATGACTTGGAAAGAATGGACGAAGATTTGGGGGGATGCTTTAGGGGTCAAGGCGGAGTTTAGACAGGTCTCTAAAGAAACGTTTTGGAAAGGGGTACCGGATGCTATGAGGGAGTTGCAGGTTGCTTGGGAGTATGTGGATGAGTTTGGTCATACGGGTGGTGATCCGGAGGTTTTGAGACCGGATGAGGTGAGTTTCTTTTTTACTTTTTTTTAGATTGGGTGGTGAGAGATACAGTGCTGATATTTAGTGTATAGCTCACCGTCAAGATCCCCGTGACGTCGATGGAGGAGTATATAAAGAGTGAAGACTGGTCAGCTGTCTTGAATTCTTAAAGAAGGAACTTTCTATTTATAGGAGCAGCTATATTTCCATTTTTTTTAATCTGTGACACTCAAGAAACACAGAGCTATCCGAAATAGTAATTTCATAATATAATCGATGATGAATCATCTTCTTTCCCGCTTTCAAAGTCCCTCTCTCACTGGTCTCCTTGTCTTTCAACACGCATCCACATTCTCGGGATTCAAACAATGATGACTTGGGCTGGGATGGCCATCCTACTTCGGTTTATAGTAGTTTACTTGTTTGCTATGTTTGTTGACTAGCTTGTATTCAAGATTGGTTCCAATATCTGTTGCTATCACAACGGCAAAGACAATGTCTTCTTCATAAAAACCTTGAAGAAGATTTCAATGATTTCATATGGCCTTTTTAAGCTCAGACCTAAGAACTACGAGCTGCGAGTGTTCTATGTAATTTGAATCGTCTGGGGCCGCACAAAATCACGTATGTATATTCACTCGTACGTACCGTAATAGTACCGGGCATAGGTACCAAATGATGGATAGGTATGGATGCTTCTTCAAAGAGAAATGACATCATCCCGTAATAATGAGTCTGGCTGATTGAATATCGAACCATCATTCTATTGCATCAAGAATATACTTTAATACGGTCCATTATATAGTCCCGCTTCGTTCATAAGCTAGCTGCAGTAGCGAAGATTTGTCACAGCGGGTACATTCTATTTAACTTCCAAATATCATCAACCAAGTCCAAACTACTCCTTCCTCACCATTCTCAACACCATCAGAATCTCAATACTCAATACCCAACATTCTATTTGAATATATCCACAACAATATGTCTACCCACAACTCCCAGGTACTAGATTCTCACGAATCCAGCCCAGCATTGCACACCCCCGAAGATAGCGGCAGCGACGATACAAGCACCAGCCCTCCAAGATGCACAGTTCCCAAGACACTTTGCGAGTTCCAAGTTCGAAACATCCAACTCAATGATAAATATACAGAGCTACGCTGTCAAAATGCCGAGCTCAAGAATAAAAACGATAAGCTCCAAGAACAAAATACCCAACTCCAGGATGGAAATGTTGAGCTCCGCATTCATAATGCGGAGCTGCAAGCTGAAGTTGAGAAGGACGTCGCTATTGCGCAAATGCGAGAGCGATTGGTGCAGCCTGTTAAACAGGATAAGGAGGAGTGTGAATGGCATTTTTTGATCTTGTGGATGATTATTGCCTTGGTACTTTTTAAGCTTTGAGGATATCTATTTAGGTACATGGAGTTTTAGGGTGGAGAAAAGGGAGGAGTGGTGTGTGAATTTTGAGATGTTGGGGAGGTTGGTGGCAATCTTTTGGTTGGGTTATTAGGGTTGATTGGCTTATTTATTTTGGGTTGGAGAGTTGATAAGATCAATTGCGGATTGGTATGGGGGGCAACTAGGTGTTGACAGCAGGTTGGAAGGATTCAATCTGGCTGTCAGGGTCCGGTTAGATGGATAAATTGTGATACAGAAAAATGTCTTCGTTTGGCATATACTTGTAGCTTGTCAATCACGAGATAAATGAAAGACTAGGTATCGTGGATAACTAAATATCATTTGCTTTTTCTCATTATACTCTTGATTTTTAAAGAATAGCGAGTTTAGTTGTATGATTACTGATCTTAATTTGTGTAATACATTACAAGTTTACATGATGATGATGATGATGCCATGTTCATGCAAAGACGGAAGTATAAGTGAGATTTAATGCGAATATGTACTTACCTAGAAGTATCTGTATAATAGGATGTTGGAAGCGGAAAGGTGGATGGAGGTCGTTAGTTTGAAATATCTTTGGGTTTGATCAAAAATTATTGAGCGGACTAGACGTTCGTTACACATTTTTAATAGTCGTTGGATATTCTCATGCTTTAGAATTGAGGTCTTTGATCTTCTGTGCCACTTAAGGTCGATTATTGGTGCGCTGCAATGACGCTGATATATCTTCCCCAAAAGTCCCCTCGAGGGACTACAGCCTGTTATCATCACTTGATTCCATGCAACACTACCTCTGAATTCTCTCAACATGATTTTCTTTTATCAGAATAATGACCCATTCGCGAGCTGCACAAGTGAGGTTGACGGAAAAGTATGTCAAGAATGAGGATAGGTAGTCTATGTTGAATGCTTCAAAATGAAAGGCAAAAGGGGGTCTGCCTTTAAAAGAGTCCATTTTTCTATGTATTTACTTTACAAAAAGTGTTGGCAGTATCGAGATACTACGAGAAACGCAATCTATCAGTGGCAATGAGATGTCTTTTGTACCACAGAATTGAGAACTTTTAAGACATCCTTGAACTTGCGTACAAGCGGGTCGTTTTTCAAGGAGACAAATAAAAATTCAAAGTTACAAGAGACTTCCCCAACAGAAGCTTCCACTTGTAGAGTCTTTGATGTGTATTATTAGTTACTGCTCGAAGGAAGATCGACTTTTCAAGAAAGATGTACCTTTTTCTGCAAATCAGTTCCAAAACTTGCAGGACAAGAGTAAAAACTGATTTAAGATGACAGTCAGCCGTTTAAATTCCCTGTCTGTCTTATCAAAAACGAAATGTTTAATCTGAGCAGAAAACGTGCTTTCATCCTGTCGTTCGGACTAGGAATAGCCTCCGCTGTTGCTTCGAAGTTGTATCGCTCTCGCGTGTCTACTCAAGACTTGTCTAACAGTGTCACTGAGGGGACAAGAAAAATAATCAAGGATGACGCAGGTGGCGAGCATCAAAAGCACCCTTCAGGAAGCCACAGCAGTGAACTGACGATCCGCCAAAATCAAGGGCTGGGTATATCTTGCACATGTCTACCAGGCGCTTCCGAGATAATCAGCTTCCAAGAAGTCAAGGAGATCATGTCAGCCTTCAAAAAAGCGGGCGAAAACGATTGTAAGGGATCCCAACGACGTGTATATCGGGACAAGATAATCGAAGGGTTCCGTTTGGGTATCGAGAAATTGTCATGTGAGACACTCGAAGAGATCTACGAGTGCATCATTGAGAAAACTTCTCAGAAGAACGGAGCATGAATAAGCAAAAAGAAGTGAAGAGATAGATGGGAGAGCAGCTGAGAGACTTCATATGCAGCCGAGGATTATGTACATCGTGAAACGTCCTGCACTAGCTGGCCTAATCTACTTGTTAGTGAGTAGAGAAGAAGGGAAGAGGGGGCGCAGAAGAATGGCAAACTTCTAGAGCAAACGACATCAAAGAAAGGAAATGAAATCATACTAAGTAGACATATTGAGCAAGTAGAAGGTATCCAATTGAGAATTTCCCAGTAGCCCATGAAGCGTGAATCAATGACGAATTTTGAAGTTTCATTCCAAGAGCTCACTAAGAATCCATTGTGTTGATCTGTTCGTTGACAAATAGATGGAGGAAAGAAACTCGCACACCTTTTAATGAGTAGGAAGGATTCACCGCCATTGTGGCAGAATTTTGGAGAAATTTCGCAAAACTCCCCATCTATCTAGAGAGTGGTCAACTGGAATACATTCACGACGGTCATGGTATTTTGTCTTGGATATTTCTGATATCAAACTACTTACATAAATATGCAGATATTGGTCAAAATCTGTCAATACCAATGTCTTCTTTCAAGGTTAGTAACGGCTTCAACAATGCCAAAACTCGACGTGAACACCAGCTCACCTGCTTCAATATAGCATAACCACTCACTGAGCCCAATTTTGGCTGTCGAGTTTTACCATACTTCTACTGGTAAATTGTTAATTCTTGCTGCTGAGGGTCCTTCTTTAAAGATTTATGATGCCAAAACTTCCAGGCAGATTGGTCAATGTAGAGTCTTTGACTCACAGGCGATTCACGGTATCATCATTAGAGAATTGAATAATGATTCCACAGACGATTTACAGGTAGTTATTTGGGGTGGCCAATGTTTGACCTTAATCCGCAAATCGCAAATTGAGGAAATCATATCTCAACATGTGACCAGTATCACGGAAACTGCAACATCAGCCAGTGACTGGGTTCTCAGTGTTGCTTTTTGTCCTTGGGAAAATGATGGCTGTGTCATGGTCACTGCTCACAATGCAATGGTTCAAGCAACGCTATCAAAAGAAGACAGAACCATAAGATTGCGTCAACTACAACCTTCGTCGCGATCTATGTTGTACTCTGCAAGTCTCGTTTGCGAGAATCAAGATACTGTCATAGTTGCAGCAGGAACTATCTTTGGCGAGATCATTGTTTGGAAATGTGTTGCTGCTGAAGATAACTCTACATTCCACAATGAAGCCCTCTTTGTTTTCACTGGTCACGAGGGTTCCATTTTTGGAGTGGATATATCTCCACCGATCATGGGCCGTGATGGAAAGACCACACGATTGCTAGCGAGCTGTAGCGACGATCGTACAATACGGATATGGAATCTTGCGGAGGGCTCGCAAAATGATGCAGATGCTATGAAGCTAGCTGCTGACTTACTGCCAAGAGAGACAGGTTTTGGAGAGACAGCAAAATCCCAGCAAGACTCCAATGGCTTCAACCGATGTATTGCGGTAACAATGGGTCATGCGTCTCGTATATGGGGTGTCAAATTTCACTGTCCTGATAGATCAACATTTGGAACCTTGCCAATCACTATTCTTTCTTTTGGAGAAGATTCAACAGCACAGCAATGGACACTAGAACTTGGGAGCGAGCTTCAAAATGGAAGCAAAACCTCTGATGTTTCTAAACCTAGCTCAAATAATCTTGCTAAGTTAACACATATCAAGACATTTGCATTCCATACTGGAAAGCACATTTGGTCAGCAGCTATTACTCAAATCGAAAACAATCAGAATTTACTTGTCACTGGTGGAGCAGATGGAAAGATCTCAACATATTTTTTTGAAGAGGAGAGAAAAACAAGTCCAACTCCTATCGACGGATCGAGCAATAATGCCGTGGAAGACTCTGCAATGGATAATTTTGTCGAAGGCTCATATTACTCGGTAGCTTTCGAGCTCGAAGATGTGTTGAAATCTCTTACTAACGTTGAAACTTGTTCCAATCAGGAACATGAGCAAGAGTCCGTCGTATCGAAGAAGAACAAGAAGGCGCCCAAAGATGCCTTCAATCGCTATGCATTCGTTTCTGAAAGTGATTTCCTGATTACGACAACATTTGGAAGAATTCTCAAGGCCACTGTTAGAAATCCGGTCAAGTTCGAAGAAATTTTTCTACCCGAATCCAGTACTCAAGACCTCAAGTCATATTCTATTTTGAAAGGAAACTCAAATCTGGGATTATGTGTCTTGGCGGGCACTACCGGGAAGATATTCTTGTATCAACCAGGACTGCCCATTGTTCAAATAGGACAAGTTGAGCGAAAACCATCGGATGTTTTCATCGTCCCAGGAAACGATAATAAATCAGTTGAATTGTTGGTTACATTATTAGGAAGTCAAGAACTGACAATATTGTCTTTTAACCTGGAATCTTCTGGGTCACAACCTATTATCGACAGAAGGACTCTCTCGTTGCCCCCGAAATTTATAGTCACAGGTGCTGGTACATGTAACGGCAATCTTATCATTGGCTCTAGAGAAGGCCAAATCGCGGTACAGGACACCGACACAAATACGATGAGCACCTGGAACTCGCCTGGCAAAAAGGATGCTATTACTTCCATTGTTGCTGTACCCAAGACCGATTCTCAGCAAATCACAAGTTATTTCGCAATCACAAGTCGGGATGGGTTATATGCCATATTTTCATACAATAATGAAGCTACGCCAAAAATTTCGCACGTACATTGTGCTGCACCACCATTTGGACCCATGATTGAAGCTTGTTGGTTTCAAGGTTCTGATTTAATCCTATATGGATTTAAAAGCAAGAGTCTTATCGTATGGAACGAGACGAAACAGTCTGAGATTATGCGTATTGATTGCGGAGGTGCACATCGAGCTCATGCTTATTCTCCATTCGAGGGAGTGCAAGGAGGTGGTAGTGGTCATTTGATATATACAAAAGCATCACAACTATTCCTTCATTCCCAGAGAGTTCCTTCTCATCGCACCATAAAATCCGGTGGTCACGGGCGAGAAATAAAAACCTGTGCAATAGGAGGCTCTCCCCAAATGATAGCCACCGGTGCTGAAGACACAAATATCAGAATCTGGCGTTACGAAAACAACCATATTCAAACCCAGGATCAAACCCTCACCTGCCTCTCCACAATCCAAAAACACACAGCAGGTCTCCAACATCTTCACTGGCACAACTCGCACTATCTCTTCAGCAGCGGCGGCGTCGAAGAATTCTACATCTGGCGCATCCAATCCATCCCTGGCTTCGGTCTCGGAGTCATTTGCGAAGCTTCTTGTCCCGATCCTACTGCCGAACAGGATTTACGCATTATGTCTTTCGACGTATCTGATCTTCCTGGAAGGGATCACGAAGAAATGATCATCACGCTTGCGTATTCAGATTCGACCATGCGCACATATCTCTACTCGAGAATCGGCGGATGGAAATTACTGGTCAGGGGTCAATATACATCTGCATGTTTAATGCAAATAGGCCATCTACACATCTCTCGCTCGGAACTCACGTTCCTAACTGCGGCTACGGATGGAAGTCTCTGTATCTGGAGCGCTCCTCTCGATCTCTCCCATCAACCTCAAGACCCCGCAGAAATTCCAACCTCCCTCCCACAAATCTCCAAACCCATCCTCATCTCCCACACCAAAACTCATCAAAACGCCATCAAAACCCTCGCCTTCAAATATATCTCCGCTGCATGTCTCGTCGTCATCACCGGCGGCGACGATAACGCAATCGGTATAACACTGTATCCCATCTCCGTCTCCTCTCCCGGCCTCCATACAAATCCCCATACTTTCCAGAAACCCATCACCATACTCCTCCCCGGTGCACACGCAGCCGCTGTTACAGGCTTAGTATTTATCCCTCATCCTCATCCTCATCTTCATCTTTGCTCTGCAGAAACTGCAGATACTGCAGAAGAGAAGAAAGAGGATATGTATATCATATCTTCTAGTACCGATCAGCGGGTCAAGACGTGGCGGGTTGGGATCTCTCTCTTTTTTACAGCTATATCTACAGCTACATCTACATCCACAGGTGCAAGAGAAGAAGAGACATGTCCGGTAGATATCGAGATGATTGGGGATGAATTTACGGCGGTGAGTGATATTGGGGATGTGGGATTAATTCCTGGGGCAGATGGGAATGGGAATGAGGCGAAAGCGATTATTGTCGGGAATGGAATGGAGATATGGGGGTTAGAAGAGACGAAGTAGAGTTTTGAGAGTGATGGGTGGGGAAGATAGTATAGCATGATATGTTACAAAACAGATATGAAAAGAGAAAATATTCTTTGAGAATTCATTACATCGTTATTCTAAAAAGCTGCGAGCCAACTACGATAAATGCCAATTAGCTAGCTAGCCATTCTACTCCTCTTTCTCCATGCTTTGATTTCCTTCAGCACATTCATAACCAGCGGTACACCCACTGGCCCTAATAATGGCATGTAAACCGCGACTTTGTGTTCATCCGGGAAATACACCTGGCCCACCATACTCTTTTCGAAGAATGCCTTTTCTGCCGCCTCTTCCGCGATACGTGCATGAACCAACCCGTCATTGCCTCCTAGTCCATCACATGCTTTTCTCAAATGTTCGATAGTTGTGTAGACGCCATCTTGCACGGATTCCGGTATACTAATCGAGGGGAGCGCTTTAGTTAATCGCGCTAGACTTCCCAGTGTTCCGCTTGCTTTCAGGAGAAGACCTGCGCTACGTACACGCACTAGTGTCATTAAGCGGAGGGGAAGAGATCCGGTTTCGGGGGCACCCATCAGAGACATTAGTTGAGTTGAGAAAGTAAGCATCGCGGGGCGTAAATCTGAGATGTCGGATTGGATTACTACGCCACCCCATTGAGGGATTAACCAGCTCTTTCCACCTCCTTCGACTTCCATATCGCCTGCATAGAGAATGAAATTGATTGTTGGGGCGCCGCCAATACTGGGACTTAAAGGCCATTCTGCGGCATTGATGAAGCCGCTTAGATCCTCTTTTCGTAGGACATTTCCGCTAACACCAGGGGTAGCGTAAAGTTGGACTTGGGTATCGATTGTGAAGTTGCTGATTGAAGTAAAGCTATCGAGTAATGGTTTCATGTGTTCTTCCAGCGCAGCTTCAATATCCCAAGATGAGGGAGTGGCAGTTGGAGTAAAGAGGGAAAAGGTCAAATGATAAGTCCCAGAGTATTTCAATGAACGCGTTGTCCATTTGGCTAGAGTATCTGCCACTTCTGGCGCCAACGCTTTTGGACTTCTTTCTGGCGGAGCAGAACTAGTAGAAAGTAGATATGCAATCATAGCTTGTTCTTCGGCAAACACGCCCCTCAATGTATTCGCAATATACGTCGCTAAAGAAGAAGTTGATGACGAACTCGAAGGGATCTGATTTGGAGGATAGTATATATCTAAAATGGGCGCGTATGCTTGTAAATTCGCCGACGACGCTGTTCCAGGTAGAAGTCTAATAGTCAAAGCAACATCCTCTCCCATGCCTCCATATGAGAACCCATTTGTAGTCGCGGAAGCATTGTTGGGCGGGGAAAGCTGCAATCGTAGATGATGTGCGGAGAAATCATTTAAATCATCTAACGCATGTTGTGTAGTTCGTAGAAGATTTTGAGCTTCGTTCTCTTGTAATGACTCGGCTTCTATTGAGATTGTGAGTGGAAATACTGGTCGACATGCCTACATTCTTCAATTAGTTTAAGCTGTCTATGTATATGAAATTAACATACTCTTCCTTCGGCCCAATCTGTCATCTGATCTAAAGGTAATGGCGCTCTATAAATGGTGGTTGTCCTCCACCATATTGGCACACCAAGTAACAATATAATAGCCCAGAATGAAATTAGAACTTGGATTCGCATGCGAGCATTTTCGGGCTTCTCAGGAGGTGGTTCCTTTCTCTTCTCTACTGCCGTCACAGCATTTTCGGGTGATTTATCATCATTAAAGATTTTCACATCTTCACCTATAGTTTCTATCGGACCTGAGGATGCAGGTTCATTTGTTGATATTGACATTATGAAGTTTGGATGTCCATTTGTTGATAAGCAGGTACCTGGGTAGGTATGTGTTGATATCGTGGAAGTTCCGCGTTGCGTTTGGATGCGCCGCTATTTGCGACAAGCAAGTTTTAGCGACGAGAAGGCTGAGATGAAATGAATGAGGTGACAAGGCTGAATAAAAGTGACAAGGCTGAGCCGATGCTTCCATTGAAGGCTTGACGCATAAGGTTAAAGTTGCGTTCTAAAGCCTTGAATAGCGGGGACCAGCACACACTCGTGACACTCACTAAAACACCTAGTCGAGCTAGTGCCCACGCCCGTAACTTACTCTCGAGCTACTCTACTACCCCTACTCTACTCGTACTACTACTCTAGTATTCCAAGGAGTTTTCGTCATAATGGATGTCAAACTTCATTGGGGAAATGATCCGAAGATCCCCAAAAAACCGTTAATTGATCAAGTTCTAATTCATCCAACCAAATATATGAAATCAATCAGCGAATCCACCATCCAAGGAGGGTCTTCATCCCATCAGTTGTCGTACGAGGCCAATTATCATCCGCCCATATCCGTCCATATCCACACATATCCATACACGAAGAGTGCAGCCATACAAACAAACGCTTCAAGAGGACGGAGAAAGATGTCTATCTGTGAACTCCACATGAATCGCATAAATTGCCAATTTGTGCTATGATTCGTATGTAAGAGGAAGAGACGGTGCAATGACCCTCAAACCCTGACTCTGCACTGAAAATTATCGTCGGATATGGAACCGCTTTCGCATCATCTGCAGCTTATTCGTTATTACATTCCGAGTACAATGCCTCAGAACAAAGCCATACTGTGCGAGGAAGCCATCCTCCGTGCCGAGGCACACATACCATTTGAGGAATGAAACTCCCCAAAAGGGTCCAACGGCGAGATGTTCGCATGCATATTACCCAGACTTCACCCATATTAATATGTGTACGGTAAGTTTTTAAGGTACAGTCTTTCTCAGATCTGTTGCTTGCTGTCGTCCCTTCCTCCGTTCAAGATCCTTTTTTCGCCTTGAATTTACTCATTCGATTAATGAATTTGAGATTTTATAACTGCATGGATATCGAATCTCTTATCTAGGCAATCGATTTTAACAGCTTTGCTATTCTATCCTCACTTGAAAGTTGGACTGTTTCTTGAAGACAGCATCCAAAGGTTAATTGACTACCAGATACCGTAGTCTTACGGAGCTCTACCAGTCTTCGTCTGACAGCTGAAATACTTTCACGACATTGTTATCAAAATGCCAAGTCAGTTTACATCGCTCCGGCCAACAGAATGAGTTCGAAATACTAACAATTCAATAGTCCCATTGGCTTTAGCAGCTCCAGCAGCGTTGGCTGGTTTGGCATACGCCAATGCGAAACTTTCTTTGAGCTACGATTATCAATTATTGGGTGCTGCATTAAAAGCATATTCCTTTACCAGCAAAAGAGAAAAAGATGATCGTCTTAACATGTTTTATGTACTCGAGGAGCATGCGAAAGGAAAATTTGCAAACGACACATTCATCATATTCGAAGGCAAGAAATGGACATTCAAGGAAACGTACGATATAGTCTTGAAATATGGAACATGGCTGAAAAATACCCATAATGTTAAGCCGGAGGAAATCGTTGCTATGGATTTCACCAATTCAGATAATTACTTCTTTCTGTGGTTTGGATTATGGAGTATAGGTGCCAAACCGGCCTTCATTAACTACAATTTGACGGGCAAGGCATTATCCCATTGTGTCAAAGTCTCCACTGCAAGGTTATGTATCGTGGATCCAATGGTCGAAGAGAAACTGACGCAGGAAGTTCGGGATGAGCTTCCGGATATCTCTTTTCAAATTCTCACTCCCGATGTAGAGTCTACGATCATTTCCACTGAAGGTGTTCGAGAGCCGGATTCTACCAGATCCAAGCAAACAAAGTCAATGATCGGAATGTTGATATACACCAGTGGTACTACAGGCTTACCAAAACCCGCAGTCCTGGCTTGGGGTAAGGCAAACTTTGGATCGACTATCATGCCGAAATGGAGCGGATACAAACGACCCGATGTCTTGTATACTGTGCGTCTACCTCTTTCATTTTGTAGTTTGAAATACTAATTTCCGTAGTGTATGCCTATGTACCATTCTGCTGCTAGTGTTCTTGCTGTCTTAGCAGCTTTGAACATGGGCGCAACAATATGTATCGGCAGAAAGTTTTCCACAAAAACATTTTGGAAGGAAGTTCGAGAATCAAACGCGAATGTTGTTCAATATGTCGGGGAAGTCTGTCGCTACCTCTTATCCGCACCTCCTCAATACGATCCCGTGACAGGCGAAAATCTAGACAAGAAAAATAACGTTAGAATGGCGTTTGGCAATGGCCTAAGACCTGATGTATGGAACAAATTCAAGGAACGATTCGATATCAAGACTATCGCCGAATTTTACTCCGCTACTGAAGGTGCAGGAGCTGGCTGGAACTATTCTAATAACGAATTTAGCAGGGGTGCAGTAGGTCGTAACGGATTTATTTACTGGCTCGTATTGAGGAAAGGATGGGCCGTGGTCGAGTTGGACGTTGAAACGGAACAACCCTATCGATCGAAAGGTACCGGATTTTGCACCAAAGTACCTTATGGAACTCCAGGAGAAATGCTGTATAAGCTTGATCCCGCCGATATAAGTGCAGGCTATCAAGGGTATTTCAACAATGAAAGCGCCTCCGATAGTAAAGTATTACGAAACGTTTTCGAAAAGGGTGATGCATGGTTTCGAACAGGCGATATTATGACATGGGAAAATGGTGAAAATGTCTTCTTCAATGATCGAATCGGTGATACATTCCGCTGGAAATCGGAAAATGTATCAACAAACGAAGTAGCAGAAGCGTTATCCACTCATCCGGCTATTCAGGAGGCAAATGTCTATGGAGTTTCCCTGCCCCATCATGATGGACGAGTAGGTTGTGCAGCTGTTATTCTAAAAGATCACAATCCAAACATTATGAAGGATTTGGCGATCCATGCGAAAAAGTCACTGCCAAGCTATGCGGTACCAGTGTTTTTGAGAGTTAAGAAAGAGGGAGAGGAAATGGAGATTACCGGGACGGTAAAGATGGTTAAACATGTGATTCGGAAGCAGGGGGTGGATCCGAAGGCGATCGAAGAGAGTGGGGATCAGATGTGGTGGTTGAGAGGGGATGAATATGTAAAGTTTGGAGAGAAGGACTGGAATGAATTGAATGGGGGGAAGGTTAAACTTTAGGAGAGCTTGTTTTGAGCTCTGAATTTCGAATCTTTGAATGCGGATAGGCGTTTGAGCGATGGGATGGAATTGGATCAATGGGAATGTGTTTGGTGTTTGGTACTGGAAAGATACTGGTTGACTGGTTGTTTTTATTGCACTATTTGAACCAGTAGAGAGAAATAGATTTACGAAAATTTGTTTTTATCTAATATATGCATTGTGCAAGTTACAATTGGTTTCGACTGATATCACAAGAAGCTGTGTGCAGACCTCAGAGTTGAGGGTTGTATTTAATGATATTTCTATGTATCGACTTGAGATTATCAATGCGTTCCCCATTCGAATTAATACCGACAACAATAAGCAGTATGGGAAAGTACATAAGAAAGAGAAAGAGATGGAAAAGAAAAGAAAAGAAAAGGAAAGAAAAGGAAAAGGAAACAGAAAAATGAGAGGACATTATTGCCAGTCTTCGCACACGATTCGGAGAAACAAGTTTCTTCGCCAACCACCCTCAGCTATCATGATTCTGTTACGCAACTACACCCGTAGTGCAGAATCTTGAAGTTCGTGCCTAAACCCTAAATCAATCCATCACGTCCCCACCCTACCCTTCCCCCTCTCCAACCCTCACCCCCTCACCCTCTCACCCCCTCACCCCCTCACCCCCTCAATCTCAACCACCCCCCTTTCCTCCACTTCACCCCCTCCCTCCCATACAGCAAGCCCTCTCTCCTCCCCCCATCCTCCACACTCTTCAGCATCTCCTCCAACATCCGAAAATCAATCGGTTTGAGGATCCAGCCGTCGAAACCACGATCGATATACTCATCTCTTTTCGTTTCTTCAAGGGAGGCCGATACGGCGATGATGGGGAGTCGACCGTAGAGTGCTGCGCGCGGGGAGATGGGGGGGACGGGGAAAGTGCTGGTTAGGAAGGAGCGGATTAGGGTGGTGGAGGAGAAGCCGTTGAGGATGGGCATCTGTGGGGTGGGGAGGGGTTAGTGTGGGTTAAGTATTTTATGGGGGTGTGGAAGTGGGAGGACGTACCTGTATATCCATCAAAATAATATCGAAACCATCCGGTGTGGCCATCACAGCTTCCGCACATGCTTGCCCGTCAATTTTCACCGTAACCATGTGTCCTCTTTTCCTGAGACGTTCTTCTAAAAGTCGACTATTCAGCGGGTTGTCTTCCGCGACGAGGACATTGAGATTGCGGATCTCCGGTTGGGGAGGCAATTCCATGATGGGGAAGGGGTATTGGAGTTGGTAATCGGGGTTGGTGGTTACGGATTTGGTGGAGAGGGATGTGGAGAGGGGGGGAGAAGAGTGCGAGCAAGTGCTGGGTGTGGGGATTGATGAGGGAGAATCGATGATTTCGGTTGTGGAGGTGAGGAAGGGGTCTTTGAGGGACGTGGAGAGGGGGTGAGAGATGGAAGGAGAAGAGTGCGAGTAGGTGCTGCGTGTGGGGATTGATGAGGGAGAATCGATGATTTCGGTTGTGGAGGTGAGGAAGGGGTCTTTGAGAGGAGTGAAAGGAGGGACTTGGAATCTTTCGGGGGTATCGCATTGGATGCCATTTTCGGAGTTGGGACTTTCAGTGCTGATGGAGAGAGCGGGAGCGTCTTTGCGTGGAGTTTGGGCAGTGAAGTGATGTCCCCCTTCGGCTTTGCGGAATGGTATTGACACTGTGACGGTGGTTCCGTGTCCGGGTTCGGTGTTGATTGTTATTTTTCCGTCGTTGAGTCGGACGAATCGTGCTGCGACGGCGAGACCGAGACCGATGGAGGATTTCTCTCCGTTAAGACATGGCTGTTCGTCTATATCGTCGTCGTCGAGGACTTTCTCGAAGTCTTGGAATATGCCGTCCAGTTCTGGCCTAGGGAGATGGAGAATTAGTCTCTCGTCATAAGAGAAGTTGAGAAATTTGTATTTCATAAGTGGAAACTTACTCAGTGAATCCAGAACCATTGTCGGTAAAGAACATCTCAACTCGAGTCTTATCATCATCTGATTCAACGTTTTTCAATCCAACAACCACATCGCCAGCAATTGAATGCTTCACAGTGTTTGAGAGCAAATTAGTGATTGTTTGTCTCAAACGCACCCCGTCACATTTCACCACTGCAGGAATATCCGTACTTTCGGCAAATCTAATATTTAGACTCTTCTTTTGACATTCATCACCGAAATCACGGATGACATCGTTCATCATTTCAGCCAAAACAACATTATCATGCGACATTTCAGGATCTTCTCCTTCCGCCTCTGTCAAGTTGAGAAGATCATTCACAACAAAAATAAGGGATCTTGATGCACCTAAAGACTTCTCTAGGTGGAGACGGGCTTGGTCGTCGAGAACTTCCTCGAGTGCTATTTCGAGATAACCAATTATAGCATTCAAGGGGTTTCGAACTTGTAAGAATTAGTAATAGATGAGGAATTCCTGGTTTTGAATACGTACCTTCAGCTCCAGCTTGTCGAATCAACAATCGCGTCATTCGATTCTGTTGCACAATAGCCTCTTTTTGTCTCCAGACCTCAATGAATCTTCCATACAATGCACTTAGAACACCTGCAGACTCAACTGAGAGACTCCATATTAGACACCATCAATAAGCTCGGGCTGTGGGATAAACCAACCTTGTTCTCGTGTCCATTCCCGACTAGTGCCTATGACATGCTGACTCCATCTCTTGAAACTTGCTCTTGGCTCAAGATACTCTGTACCAGGCTTATATATTTTCTCATTTGGATTTCCAGCCCACTTGACCTCTTTTAGCTGACCCTTTCGAAAAAATACCAAAAAGTCCGATCCCGACAGAGACAATGGAATCACAAGAAATCCTGAGATCAAAACAAAATGCGCAGGAAACATAATATCTGTACAGTCCGCAGAGATATTTTGAGTGTAGAATACAGACGTATGCGACTTTTTGCGGATATATTGAAGTAGAGAAATACTTTCATTGTAGGCATACAAGCGCCCAATCGTTCTTGCTTCGTCCTTAATGGCCAAGAACCCAAAATCTGCTTCAAACATTTGCAATAAATCTCTGGATGAAGCAGCAACATATTGTGATGGCGAAGTTTTAGGAGGTGCTTTTCCGAGATGCCGTCGCGCTTGTATCCGAGAGAGGTAGATTAATTTCTCAATGTTGTTGCTTGTACAATCTCCTAGACTTCGGCAGAGCTCCCTCATTGGGAATGAAACCCTTTTTCCTTCTAGGCCATAATCATGACATGAGATTAAACCCCATAATCGACCTTCTACAATCAAAGAGATGGAGAACGAAGCCCTTACACCCATGTTTGTCAGATATTTGATGTGAACGGGCGACATGGCCCTTATATATGCTGATGAAAGGTTGAGATTTTTAGGATTATATTTTTCGGTTGAAGACATAAGTCTGGCAGTCTCTTCCATTCGATCATAGAGTAGTCTTATCTTGTTGAGCGCATAAAGCTGCCGAGCCTGAATAGGTATGTCGGTATTCGGAAACTTGAGGCCACGGTAGAGATCCAACGATGCTCTCTCATCAATGTACTCTGCTCTAACCAACCCTGCGTCATCTTCATCAAACTGGTAAGCCATAACCCTGTGAAATCCGGTCAGATCAAAGACAAGACCAACAACTATGTCGAGTAGAGATGCTATGGAAGTAGCTGAATTCAGCTGCTCCTGAACTTCACAGCCGAGATGAAACATTTCCATCTCGCCAAGCCTGTTCTTGGTCCTCTGTATCGTGCGAAATGGCTCACTATATTTTGTAGTCGACACAATTCGTTCCTCCTCTGTAGCTTGGTTATCGATAATATTGACCTGTTCTCCAGGCAGATTCCAGTTCTCCGGAGGGACGTCAGTCATCAAATCATTCTTCGCCTCAAACTCGCATATGAACAAGCCCGCATCCTCACGGAAGTGTAAAGCACAATACATAGGGATATAGGGAGTTGACTCGAGCATCGTGGTAAAAATATCTGGATATGCTTTAAGATGTTCTTTTTGATGCCAGAGTTTTCTGGATTCAATCCTGGCTCTAAAGTCCAATTCGTACACTGGACTTAGCAATTGAGTGAAGCAGGGGAGTGCGAAAAGATCTTCAGGCTTGCGGCCAATAATTTTTTCTGCGTTCTCACTTGCAATTCGGACCAAGAAGCGACCGTCCTCTTTTTCCTCGAGAGCTAATAATGCTCCGAAGCTTTGAATGGATCCAGGAATTTGGATGGGCTCATCCTCACAGCGACGAACAATCTCATTAATAGCATGATTGGGAGTGGGTTTGCTTTCAGAGATCAAATGATGGACTGACGCTGTGATGAAAGGGTGTTGAGATGGCGATAATGGCAAGCAAGATTCTGCCAAAACTACATTTGGGTGCCTTTGATTAATGCCACCTTCAGTCTCAGGTACTTCAACGCGAACATTTGCAAAAGCCGTTTCATCTGGAACTTCTTGAGTTTTCGCAACACCAGAGTCATGGAGGTTTGTGTCAAGAACTGTTCGCCGTTAATAAGCATTCTAACCAAGACCTGTAGGGCCAATCTCTACCTGTTTCTGTTTCGATACGGATGGGAAACACCCTCTCAATTCGAAATGATACATCCGCATGCTTCTGACGACTTGTAATGATGTCAATACTCCCTGACCCATTGACTACGACAGGTGAAGGTTGGTGCGTCATATCGAACTAATCTAGTGCCTGGCCCAAAAATAGATACTTTTGAGACTATCGCGGACATATGTATTGTCCCAGGGTATTCAAGCATTCAGTAATTGGTCATGAAAAATGATTTGTCATGATCGTGGTGATGCTTTCTTTATATCTACCATAGTCGCACATGCGTGATTGGGGTAGACAAGAACGAACCATCTTGGCGCCCGAACCAAATGGCGTTCTTTTATTTTCAACATCACATATTCGAGACCATACTAATGAACAAGAAAGCAATTTTTAAGACTCGAATGTTCAAGTATTCCTCGATTCTCACAGGGATGTATCATTCTCGTGAAA